AATGTCTAGTATGACTGCACATCTTTAAAAGAACAGAGGTATTTTGTGCTATTTCGTGCAATGAACCACAGTTATGGCTCTTTTGAGCCCAAGAAATGACAGAATGTTTAAAGGAAGATCACTGTTGGCTTTGGGCCACTGCCTCCAGGCCGCTCGTTAGGCCCTGCACGGTCTGTCCCCACTCTTGAGAGGTGAAGTGGACGGGCAGCAGGCACAGGGCCCTTCCGCCCTCCCCACAGTCCATTTGCCTCGTGCCCAGCCGATCGGGGTTTAGGCAATGGATGGGCACTTTGTTGTTTTTGCAGTGTTCCGAAATTATGTTCACGGAGTTTCATGTAGGCCGCTTCAGAAGCAGCCCAGATGAGAGTTTTCATGCAGGATATAAATCTTTTAAAAGAAATGAATAGCACATAAACAGTGTTCATGGTGTGAAGCCATAAAGCTGTGGGCTCACTGAGAGGATATGCACAGCCGCTTACAAGCTTGTTTCTCCCTCTCTCTCACACACACATCAGGTGTGAACAAAACGTACTCCTGTTTAAACACATATACATATATCTGGGAATTGAAATTGGGGGTGGGTAGGTGACTGCTGCACATGAAGTGGTGAACATGCCAAACGGCACTGTTATGTGCAGCTGTTACCTCAAGTGCATTTACAGGGGCCTTAGAATACCCATGAAGGTATGCCTGGAAACCCCAATCAGTCTAGGGACCTCTGCCCAAGATTTTTATTTTATTTTTTGCTGCCTAGTCATCAACTTATGGTGACCCCGTACGGTCAGAGAGGGTTTTGCCAGTGCCTTCCTTCACTTAGGTATGCCAATCTACCATAAGGCAAACTGGCATTATGTAAGCAAGCGATGAAGTCCACACCATACCCAACTATTTTGCTGCCCCAAATTATAACTGTTTCACTTTTTCAATACAAGAACCAACCAAATCCAAATCCACCCTTCTCTGAAATGAGAGCATTATATACTAGTTAAGCCACTTATCCATTCAGTTGTAGCTACTCTAAGTGGCAGAATAAAATTTTTAAACCTCTAGCTACATTTCATGAAATGCTTATTTGTTCAGTGCCCCTTTATGTACCTTGGAAAATTTAGGAACACAGCAGAACCTCCAGAGAATGTTGTGCTCACTTCGGTACGTTCAAATGAGATGGATGTCAGTTTCCACAATGCACCCAATTACTTTTATGAATATTTCCTTTTTAGCACCATAATGGCTGTAGTCAGACTATTAGGATTGTAATTAACACCCACTATTCGTTAGCTTTATCTTGGCCTTATCGGCACAGCTAAGCCAACATAGCTTTCTCCTGTACTAGCCCAAGGGATCCTCTCAGGCAGTGGACTGTACAATTTTAAGGAAGTAGGTAAACCCAAAACAGCTCCTTAATTTCACAAAGGTGAGAGAAACATGATTTATACTCCTATAAATTACTCTTGTCTATTTTAAAAAGTACAATACATTCTTTTGAAAGGCTAGGGAACCCCCCCCCCCCAGCATCGCTTTGCCAACACTGTTCCAAGACAAAGTCACTCTTTGAAGGCCAACACAGCAATCATTCTTGTTACAAAAAGGAACATTTACTAGTATTGAAATGACACAATATTTAACTGTTGTAAACATATTTTCTTCTATGAACAATAAAGCTCAGAATGGCAAACACACATTTTAGCAGCCAAATATTTTTAAAAAGAAACTTCTACCAGACTTACTTATAGTCCTTTCAAGTATATATAGCAAGCTGCTTGTCTAGCTTTAGTGACCGCTAGCAATCTCCAACAGACTCTTTTTAAAAATGCAAACGTATTAGGCTAACACACTCACATAAAAAGCAGTAACAAACATTAATTCCATTTATAACATGTCAGGTCAATTCAAAGAGCACCCAAAGTATTAATTACTAATTTTAGCTACAAGCAGCTCTTGACTTCATTAGTTACCAGTTCCCAGACAGGGCAGAAGGACCCCCACTTTACAGCCACCTTCCTCTAGACTGGCTTACTGTTCTTCCCGTTAGGACCAGTCTACAGAGAAGGCAACAGATCGAACTCCGATCAAAGCCTTCATAGTGAGTGACCTCAGAACAGAGTACTTTTCAAGGGAGACAGGTCACGTGTTCAGCTGAGAGTATTCAAACAGGGTGGAGATTGAGGAATGAGACTGTGGGTGATGCATGGGTGAACCTGTCGCTTAAGAGCCACACCAAGTGACAAAAATAATCCAGGCTTCCTCACTTCAAAAAGTCTTCCTTTGAAGTCTGGGGTTCCTGGATCCTATCCTCACCATCGACTTGTGCAGGCAGGGAAAGTGGGCTGAGGGTCACCACGACTAAGCAGGGATTAAAAGCCAGGTGCCCACTCACTGCACCCCAACCTAGCCCTTTATTTGACATGGCAGAAATCTCCCTTCATCTGACTCAAAACTACCACCATCAGACCATCTTGGAGTCAGGTTTACACTGCTATATGCATTTACTTGGGAAAATAATGTACACAGAGGGTATGAGGTAATCTTGTGGCAAAGCCTAAAGCATGAAAGGAAGAATGAATGATTTTTCAACTTGTGCGTCTCACGGTGAGCATACACCGTGCAGGAGTTCAGTTGCTACTGCTTATTTCACTCAGCTGTTCCTTGACAACACTGAGTAGTACCTAAGATTTATACCAGCCGAGCAAATCGCTACTTAACCCCCACCCTCCACCTTCTACACTCCCCACTTGAACTTCAGTCCAATTCTCCTGCTGCTGAAAAGGGTGCCGAACCCTTATTACAGCTGTCTCTTCAAGAAATTGAGGCAATTCAATCTCCAGTTGTTTTGGCCTTTTTACATAGCACTGGTAGGGCTAAGAGACAAGTCACAGCCATAAGAGCCCCTGACACGGCCTTTATCCTGGAAAAGGAAAGCTTCTGTTGCCTTTCGGGACCTCAGAAGTGCTGCATTAAACCAAAGAAAGGTGATTTGTCCCAAGGATTCTGTGCTATTCCCACATGAGAAGTACACAGAAATGGGCTTCTGAGGAGGGGGATTCAGCAGTGTGATGGCAGTTAAATATATAATATAATTAACTCCAGTGGATGAACTCTATAGCTAAGTGCTGCCTTGCAAGTTGAGTCGCAGTTGCAAAGTGCTTTAGAACCACATCGGTTAAAGCAAAGCTTCCTCTGTGGATGTATTTCATGGATCTTCTCTGTGCTATTGCAGCTTTTTAATGAAATAAAGATGCAGGAATTTGGAATGCTTTGCACATTGCTAATCTGGAGTTCAAGGCATGGAATAAAAGCAAATATCAATAAGCTCAGCATATTCCTGAGAGTCTTAAAATTGAGAAGATTGCTTAATTGGCACTCCCTCCTGCTAACAGAAATATGCCAATTAAAAGGATTCTACTATACTCATTAAAGGATTAGAGAGCATTAATGTCATACTAACCCTCTGCTACATTATCTTTATTTCTACTGCTCTAAGAATATCTTATGAACAAGTGAACATGAGATTACAGATCTTCGAAATGACATTAAGTACCTTGCACCTTATGCACATATATACACATAACTTCATGAGAAACCAAAACACAGGTTAAAACCATAGCAAACGTGCCACTAAAATATCATGTTCATGTATCTAGTAACTCTTGTCTTCTTACAGTACATTCTTACGAAGCAAAAGGCTATAAGCAGCCATTTCCTCGTTAAAATTCAAACACTCGAAGAAGAACATGTAGGGATGTCATTTGAGAAGAGTGCCTAAAAAAACCTTTCTAAGTTATATTATACACTGCTGGTTCCAATCAATTCACATTGGTTGTTACAGAAATTTCAGTTTTATCTGAAAGTCTGCTCATTTCCTGTATTTTATTGCTTATCTTTGCAACCCAGAAACAATTTTCCTGCACAAATTCATGTGCGTGGTTTTCTAAAGTTGATTAGCTGGTGTTCCTCTATCCAAATAAAATCTTTAAAGCAGACATTTCCCCCACCCCACAACATACAGTTAAATTCTGATGGTAGCATTTAGTCATAGAGGGGGAAGAATGGCCCCGGGTGCCCTCAGATGTACATACCAAGGGGTTGCCCATGGGCTTCACCCACTCTCTACACATAAATATTCACCTCAAAATTCCTGTTGTACAAATGAAGCCAGGGAAAGAAATAGAAAATATCTAATAAAGTCAGCTACTCCAAGAAATGTTTATTCACTGTGTTAAAACTCAAATTCTGAAGGTTTTAAAAATTGAGGTCAAGACAAAGCATATGCTTGGATTAACCAGAGAATCCCCAGAGAAGGGGGGAACTCTCAATAGTGGAGAGCTCTGGGAGAAGGGGATGGGGATGTAAGAAACCGCAGGGAAGGTCATTACTTCAGAAAGGGGAAATGATGCCACTCCAGAGGATCTCCAACCACACTGGACATTGCAGAGTTCAAGAGATGGGTCTTATCAATTTCAGCTGAATGCCACTGGCTGGGGGGGGGGGGGGCGCTCAGGGCAGGAACTGAAGAGCTGGGTTAAAGAACAGAGGGTAGGTTTCCTTGTTGCACTGAGTTTTTAAAGATTCCTTATGCAGAACCAAATTTTTAAAATCCAGATAACCTTATTACTGAGGGAGTCTAGGGAAAAATCCATTGGCTTAACTATGATTATGTCATAAAAGATAAGATGATGTTTCGGAGATGAGAACAAGCCCACCTAAACGCTTTCCATCATTTAAATGGAGGGGGGGGGGAACCACTGATTTGTATGTTTGTTGAAGAATCTGTTTACGCTTTGGCTCTGACAAGCAGAACAGAACTTTTGAGAGGGGGGGAAAGAATTGTTGGCTTTTTATAAATAAATCTTTTAGCTCTAATCCCAACAACCTTGAACTTTAACTGTACATTCCAAAATTGTTTCCATGCATTTTGGCGAACGTTTGTGACCAGCAATGACATTGTAAACGTGGCTTACAAGACATCCCTCTCTCTCTCAAAGTGAAAGCAAACTTCAACATTACGCCTGCAATTGCAACCGAGATCTAGCCTCTTTGACCGATTTCTGCCTTGGAGGAGGAACTGGCTTTGTAGGAGGGACAGGAGTTTCATCATCAGTAGAGGTACCTTTCCAGCAAGTAACTGATTTGCGAGGAGCCACAATAGGTCTCTGCAAGTGAGGCAAAGAAGTCTGCCCAGAACCAAATGACAACGTCCTATGCGCAAGGGGAGAATTATTCCCAATGTTCTCCTTGTTCAGTTGAGCAGGTGGTGTTGGTGCTGCTGAGGCGTATGGTGGCTTATCAGATGGTGGAAGAGGTGCTCGTCTTTTGGTGCCTTTGCTTCCATTAGGGTTTACTTTGCTAGTGCCTGGAAGTGTATTCTTCTGCACAACCATTTGGTGAGAGCCATCAAACATGGCAGCCCATGGAGGGGAGACACATTCTTCATGTTGGCCCAGGAACTTGCCATCAGTTTCCTTATTTTTTTGTCGCACTATATCAAGACACACATTCTTCATGTTGGCCAACCAGGAACTTGCCATCGGTGTCCTTATTTTTTTGTCGCACTATATCAAGTAGTCCTTCATGTTTTACTGGGGAATCAATACCTATTAACATTTTAAGACACAACATAAAAATTTTCTTAATGGGATATTTGGATGCAATGTTACCACCAGAGCTTAAACTATATACAGTACAACCCTAAGAGTACTTTCCTGGGAGTAAGCTCCATTGAGTAGACCTGCTTAAGATTGCTCTTTAAAAGTATCAGGGATCAAAACTGCTCACCTTTCCAGTCCCTCCTACAAGACCACTGGAAATTCCCATACTTTCCACCCACTATAATACCATGAAACACTAGCAAGAAAGCACACTATAAACTATTATGATGACTAATAAACTCATTATGCTTTTACTGTTCACTGTACAATAGGCTTCATTATGTGGAATTCAATCAAGTTATTGTCCATTCTTCACACTGCAAAAGCAGAAGGCTAAAAGTATTGTGGATTTTCATAAATTTGTAATGAATTCATAGCATTAATTGCGGGGAAGGGTCATATTTCATACTATTATTTTTCTGAATCTATTCTTTCATTTTGATATGCATAAATGCTGCTTATTATTTGATGTCTTTAAAAAGACTTTATAATGCACCTTTCACAGTTTACATCTGGCTGTTGATTTACTTTCTGGCCATTTAAGATGCAGTTCAAATATTACTTTGCTTGTAGATACTAAACATATCAGTGCACTATAATCAACAGAGCAGAATTGACATTAAGAAATTCTCCAGCAGTTGCCAAGTGAATATCTGGAGGACTCCAGACAACCAAAACTAAGAGTTCTAATCTATACAATCAGCAAGATCAGGCAGCAGAGTTTGTCACAGGTGCATGCATATACATTTCTGAATATTAATGGAAGTTTTTTAAAAAACACACGCATACAGAAATTATTTACTCCATTTATACCCTACTATTCTCTTCAATGAGGACTAGAAGTAGTTTACAGTGCTCTCCCCTTCTCTGTTATATGCAATCCAGCATCAGAGGAGAAGGCTGGACTAGTTATCTGCATGCAGAGAGGAATGCTTTTAATAAAAAGCACTGAAATATTACATTCTTGAGCCTAGAGACCAAAGTGGTGCACTCCCAGGAGGGCTCTACGCTGTCACATTTGGTACATGCAATTTGGCTCTAGGTCTAGTCTTAAAGTGTTTTCACGACTGTTCTATACAAGCTAGCAACTCTAAATGTGTAGCCACGAGTACACACAGAAAAAAAGATGGCAGTAGTGCCCAGCAGTAGCTGATCATAGCTCATAATCAGTTTGGTCAGAGATGCTTTTAGTTAGTTATTCAATGTTCTTTTTTTTTTTTCCTCCTGAGATACTAACAAGAAAAGGCTATTTGGACACAGATGCCGGGCACCTATCTTATCCAGGCCTCACTGGAAAGGGCCGGATGCTAACGCAAAACTACCCTACAGACGTGATGCAAAAGATGGCCATGAGGTTGTGGGTCAGTGCTGCCTCCAATGCCCTGCTGTCTCCACTTACACATATCTTGGTAAACTGAAGTTGCCTCTTTCGTCAAGAACAATGGTGGTTTCAGTGGTGACATAATCTCAATTTTCATGAATTCTTCACAACAGTGTCTCCACTGACCTGAAAGAAAATCAGAAAGCAATTAACGGAACTGAAAATGTCCTACTTTTAAAATAATACTACAATTATAGGCGGTTCACACAATTACTATCTGACAATAATGGACAATTGTTTCATAAATGCGGTAACTCAACTTGTAGCTCAGTTCCTCCAGACTGCTAGCAGACTGATCGAAGGTGCCACAATCTCTAAAGAAAGTATGCATTTGACATCTGCTGGGGGTAAAGAGAGCTGAGATTTCTCAAATGTCTAGTGTGGGATTTGAATAATCAGTTCTCATAACTTGGCCAACCCTAATTTTATGATTTATACTTTCATGGTATTACTTTCAAATATCTGACAAACTGGCCTCCACCCAAGCTGCTCTAGGTATACTGTGGTGTGTGTAAATTGTTACCTAGCACCACAGCGATTAAAGGCCCAAATAAGAAAAACTTGGAACCTGTTGGAAGTTAACATTGCTCACTGTTTGCAGACATCTCCCAATGCAGAGTTAATTATGGGAGGGGATTTGAATGCAAGGATGGGGGCAAATGATGAGATTCTATTTGATAAGTATGGGATAGAATCAAGGGGTGGGGAGGTTGTGGATGGGTTAAATGATCGATGTTCACTGGATGTTGTTGTGAATTATGCAGGGCTCTGTTTAGCCCAGCTGACTCACAAACTGATTCTTAAGATCTTAAATGGAGTAACTCAAGGTGATTGTCCGGGGCAATACACATACTGGTCCAGTAACAGACATTCCACTATAGACTATTTGATAACCACCAATGATATATTTGAAAGGGTAAGCTGTCTATATATTGAAGAGCGAGTTGAGAGTGACCATCTGCCGCTCAATTTAAGCTGGAACGTGGGGGCTGTCCCCCCTTCACAAAGTACATGGAACCTTCTTGAAAACGGATAATATAACAAGCAGGCGGAAATCTAATTGGTGTCCCAAGTTGAATGACAAATTTCTAGCATGGACAATATCTGAAATAGGGAAGGATATAGAAAACTATCACCTCCGGTGATTAAGGAGGGCTTTAAGTGTGAGGCCCCTATTCTTAATATCTATGCACAGTTAACGACCCATTTATCCTCAATTCTATCACATGAAATTAATAACTCCCAGTTGGGGCGTCCAAATAATAAAAGCTGGTTTGATAAGGACTGTGTGCAGGCAAAACAGAGACTTATTAGGAGCCTTAAAGAATTTCACAAAGTCCCAGTGATTGATAACAAACTAGAAGTACAAGCAAAAAAGAAGGCCTATAAATACCTCCTGAGAAGTAAGAAAAATCTGGCTAGAAAGCTTAGATGGAATACACTAATAGAGGCAGCCAAGAAAAAGGATCATAGGCAATTCTGGACAAACTGGCCTGCCTCTTTGGGGGAATTAGCTATGCGGCAGGAGAGGCAAGCTGGGTACAAGGGACCACGCACCAGTTGTACACCAAGGTCCAGCACAGCAGGAAGACTCCAGATTTGAAGAGTAAATTAAATAGGTTTTATTGAAGAATTTCCCTAATTACAAGCACACTAAGCATTCAAAAAGAGCAAGCAATACAGAACTAGTGAATAGGAGGTTCAGTTACGAGGTAATACAACCTGTCCACATGTGCAGAATCCAAGGAGAAGGGACTGTGGCCCAAACAGAAGTTTCTGGGAGGACTGCCGGCATCAGGGCAGAGGCACACCCTCTGAGGCCACGTGCGTGGACGGATAGAGACGTTAGAGAACAATGCTGACCAATGGGAGGTCTTGAGGGGCTTGCCCCAGGTGAAGACAAAAGATTACCTGGACCAATCAGGTGTTCCGAGGGTGTGTGCGGTTGTCAGGAGAGGCATGGCCTAGGTGTGACCAATGAGGTCCCAGAGGGGCAGAGTCTGGATTAACAATAGCTATGATGGGATTACTGGAGATGGCTGAATGAGTTTGAGGATCACTAATGGTTTTGGCCAAGGCAGATTGAATAGGTTCCCAAGTATAGACAAAAAGTGGGAGATGAGTTCCTGATTAGCGTCAGAAAGGATCACTAAACATTTGAATGTATGATGGGTTAATCTCGGAATCCTGAGGGAAGGAGCAGGAACTACAGTTGTGAAGACAAAGGATTCTCACATAGACATAGGTCAGTGGTGGGCAAACTCATTAGTCAAGAGAGCCAAATATCAACAGTACAATGATTGAAATTTATTTTGAGAGCCAATTTTTTTAAACTTACACTATATAGGTAGGTACATTGTTATTAACTTAATTAGGGTATTCCTAAACTGGCCTTTGCTAAAAATATCCTCAGTCTGATTGAGGTACGTTCGCTGAGGTCGACCCCTTCCAACTCTCCCATCCACACTCGTCTTGTATACTTGTTTCGTCTCCTTTCGTTCATCCTCTCTATATGTCCAAAGTATCCATAAAATTAAATCATGACAATGACTGACAAACACTAATGTGAACAATGGCCTTGCATCTCCTTGGAAAGTTTGGGTAAGTCAGGTTTGTATGTTGTTGTTTTTAATTTTAGGCACGCACTAGAGAGCATCAATATGTATGGCCTCACTGGACCAGATTCAAGGTTCTTAGCTAGCAGCTAGCATTCTGTTCCCAACTGCAGCCTTCCAGAGGCCTCTGGAAGCTCAAAGAGCTGTTTGCCCTCCCCCATTCTCTCAACAGCATTTAATATTAAGAGGTTCAGTGT